AAACTGTAAATTATATGGAGGAGAACAAAAATAAAATGTCAGATTACGGGTTCATTGATAATCATAGAGAATTGAAACGACTTCTGTCTAACTTGGACGTTGACTCGAAGAACTGTGAGCATTCAGTGAGATACAAAAGAGGGGAGATAACCAATGACTTACTAAAGTCCTTTACTGGACATACCATTGATTTAGACGAGCTTAGTGCCACTGAAACCGACTCCTTTCAATATGGAGATGATGTCATATTTCTTCTGGAGGCTTTCAATGAAGGGGATTGTTACGTCTGTGATGCTAAATCAGATAGGATAACGGCACGGGTAAACAAAAAAGGGGAGAAAACTCAGACATTCTCCATCAATCCTTATGATACTTGTGTGTGCGAAACTGGTGATGTCTACTTTACGAACTATGAGAACAACTCTATCGCCCGTCTTTCGACAACAAGGAGCTATATGAACCTACTTTCATATTCGGGATCCTTTACAACCGTCATCTGCACGGATCCACTGACACCACTGGGGATTTGTCAATCACTGGACGGTGGCCTGCTGGTCACGCTGATAGACATGGAATCGGAGGACTTCAAATTGGAAGCAACCAGTAGACGCCTTTTGAGACATATAGCTCTTAACGGTGATATCATCAAAGAGTACAAATATCTTGAAGACAAGCAAACCAGGTTGTTTATACAGCCAGTCAGAGTTGTACAGAACAAAAACAGTCAGATTTGTGTTGTCAACCGAACAAGTGGAAAAACAGGTGAGCTAGTGGTCATTTCTCCCTCCGGTCGTCCGATGTTTATTTACTGTGGTCAGGACTTGATCCATGGATTTAATCCAAATGATGTCGTGTGTGATTCCCTCTGTAACATCATTGTTGCAGACGCGGGAAATCATCTCATTCATTTGCTGAGTCCTGACGGGGATTTCTTGAAGTATTTACTAACAGATAATGAAGTAAAGACACCGACCTCATTGTCATTGAGCAAGCGCACTCTGTGGGTTGGGAATGAGCATGGACTCGTCAAAGTGTTCAAATACATGGCGTAATTTGCATGTACCTTTAAGGGTGGTATTTATTTAGGGTTTTAGTTGATGGACTTGAAACGCTACAATTTTTTGTGTTTAAAACCAGACATCATTTAAAATGGGCAAAATAACTACTATGAATAAATATCTGTATTCATATTTTTCATATTTGAAGAAAACACGTTTTAAAAGGTGATGGTACAGAGGAAATTCGGACAAAACTTTAGGGTTGTTTTATTTGGCCAGGAAGAATATATATAAAACGTGTGGCAGATTGTATGGTGTTCTTATTGAAAGGGATATGTCGAGTCAACATGGGAATGGAAGTAGTTCCTATTACTTGAAAAGTCTATCGAAGAATTAGATATATGGAGATAAAGAATAGTATTCAATCTCAATAGTCCAATAAACAATACAAATCAGTAGCAGAGCAAACACGAACTTCTTAAACATCAGAAATGGGATCAGGAACCATGGAGAAGTGAGCATCCCCTGCCGTGTTTTTCTTGTCATGGTCGGGAAATAACGCAAAAATCCGTCAGCATTTGACTTTATGTTGGACTGTATTTACTGACAAGGTCATTGAATCGCCATAGAACTTATGAAATGATTACTTTAAACGAGATTGCTGATATTCATGTTTCATCAACTTGTTTATCAATTAAACTTACTAGGTTTTTTGAAATTTTTGTTCACACGAAAGCATGACCCTGTCTCCTGGCAGTAAATAGTCAACTTAGGCTTTGTGTAAAATGCAGAGGGTGGAGTCTCTAAAATGGAGAGTTCAAGGGGTGGAGATATATAAACCCCGAATGCAGGTGACAACGGCATAAGGGAAGTTGACGATTAAAAATTTAACTCATCACTTTTATCATAAAGCTTTGTTGTTAAATTCACATTAACGTCTTTTTCTTGTAAAATATCCAAATATGAAACAGATTTGTCAGAATCACCGGGATATTTCGCATCAATATAAGAATGGAAAAAACTATTGATAATTTACAATATGTCGTCGATATATCTAGATGTCGAACTGAAAGCCACAGCAAGTGTTTTCTTCTTTTAATGTATAAGCTTTTGGGCAAATTCTGCTTCATATGATCATGAATACAAATATAGGTCTGCTAATAACGGGGTGCGATTGGTATCCATGGAAATTCCAATAGATTGTTGGAAGACCTGGTTTCCAAAAACAACATACATAGTTGTTGTCAATCAAGAACTCAAGGCATCTTTTCTATATCAACTTCAGAGTACTTTTATGCACAATCAGAATATTTTTAACAAAACAACAAAGTTGCCAATGACAAGGTAAGTAAATAAACGAGTTCCTTTTTTATTAAAAAAAAAAAGCAGCTGTCAATGATATCAAAGTGCCTGGATTTTAATCTAGCGTAGGGATTTATTGTATGTTGTTTCACGTCCCATTCGAGAATTTTTCACATATAAAGAGACGTCATCATATGATATAGTGGTGAAGGGTTTAATTTTGACCTTTACTCGGGACTCAGTGCCTTTGAGCAGTGTGGGATCTTTATCGTGCCAGTGCTTGTCGTGACACGGGTCTTAGTTTCAAATGTCTCATCTGCAACGTTTACTTCCAAGTGCCAAGCGCATGGCGAAGGAACAGTTGCTATCCATTTTTATTGACTTAGGTCAGTTGCGCCCGAGTTCGAACTTCCTTTTACGGAGCGAGCAGTCTGCCGATTGAGCTACCGTGAACGGTTTATGGAGGGGGAATAGAAAGGTCGTAGGTTTGAATACCTTATCATTATAAAATATGCGTTGTCAAAAATTTGCAGGTTTCTATGATAACTGTACTTCATTTAAGTTTACATTGTTATCAAAATTTATATTGATTTAAAATTTTGATTTAATTTTTCTCAGTTTTTGATCATAGCCGACCGGTCACATCCGCCATGTGCTCTTTGTAACGGACAAATCCGTGAAATATAAATGCCGTATGCAGGTGATGAAAGTATATTGCTGCATAAGTAACGGAAAGTTGACGATAGAAAAGTTAAAGTCATCTCGTTTATCATATACCTTGTTTGTTACATTACCATTAATATCTTATTCAAACAAAATATCCAAATATGAAACAGATTTGTCAGACTCTGTAGTATCTTTTATTTCAAGCTCACCAGGATATATCGTATCGACATGGGAATGAAAAGTACCTCTGTTAATTGACAATACGTCGTCGATATATCTAAATGTTGAGTTGAAGGCTACAGTAGGTGTTTTCTTAATTCGTTTTACACATCAGATTTTGCACAAATTCTGATTCATATGAATACAAAAATACGAGGGTGTATCAAAAAGTTCATGGACTAGCGCCATAAAATTAAAACCGCTTTAGGTACATCAATAAATTTTCAAATAACTAATAAGCATTGATATCCTTTCTATTCATAGAATAAACCAGAAATCATAAATTTTATTTTTTAATAGATTAGTAATGTTTTTGTAAGCAATGGTATGTCCAGTCGGCGCAACCTCAAACAAGAGGTGTTTTTTCGACCCAAGAGTAACTGAGAAAAACTCTCTTTTTTTCGACCCAAGAGTAACTGAGAAAAACTCTTTTGATATGAACAATTCACATCAAAAATCCCGTTAATTCAGGTTAGTGTTGGCACACTATGGTTCCATAAAATGTAGAATTTTTATCTTATTCTGGAAGTTCTATGAAATTTCATTGTAAATTTTACATGGAGTGTCCATACAAAAAAGGCCTTGGAAATGACGTCAAAAAGGGGGAGGCGTTTCCTTTTCCAACATTCTATAAAGTTTTGTCCGTGAAAAAACTGGTATACACCTAGGAAATGTTTAAAGTGGCTATGGAGAAATGATATGCATCCAGAGTACTTGTTTTCTAATGCCGCAATCGATTCAGAGAGAAAAGGGATACACAGTTAATGTCGATTTGAAATCAAGGTGTTAAAATAAATCACGTCAAAAATGACGTTGACCATGTGTTGTAGATATTGAACTCCGAAAAGCAAAACATGCTGGCACAATCAAGCGATGATCTCTCCCAAAGTATAAATCCATTTGCAATATCATTTTTATTGAAAACTACTGTTCAACACATTGTTACGTCCTTTAAACAAAAGGAGTTTAGGTCCCGACTCAGCTCCAGAGAATCTAATCAAAAGAAGTGAATGAGATAGAAGGAGTGGACATTGAAAAAAAACGACGTTGTCGGACGTCATGAAACTAAACGGGGACGTCGCCAGGTGATCATACAATGTCGTTTTTAGTTTATAATACTTTGGCTAAGAATGAACGTATTAAGCTAAAAATTTCAACACTTTTTAATTTTTTGTTGTTTTATGTTCCTTATAATTTTTAAGAAGCACACGCTATATAGTACTAATTTCATAGCTTCAGTACACGAACTTTTTGATACCCCCTCGTAGGTCTGCTAATAACGGGCGCAGTTGGTACCCATCGGAATTCTAATAGATTGTAGGAAGACCTGCTCTCCAAAAACAACAACATAAATTATTATTGTCAATCAAGAACTCAAGCATCTTTTGATGTCAGTTTCAGAATACTTAAGTGTATAATCAGAATGTTTTAAACAAAATAATTTTGCAAATGGCCAATGACAAGGTTAGCAAATTTACGAGCTCCGTTTTTATTGAAAAAGCAGCTGTCGATGATATCAAAAAGCCTGGACTTTAATTTATCGAGGGGAATGGATGTGTATTGAGTTGAAAATTCCTAAGTTTTTCAGTTGTTGATTTTGGTAAAATCTTGTGATTTCAAATTGTCCAAAAGTTCCTTGAATATATTTTTACACAGCACTCTTGATGCTTAAGTTTCTCCTTCACTACTGTTAATATCTTAGTGAGGTGAAAAGAAAGAGGCTTGGTTGAACATTTACTGGGACCCTGTATGTATCTTTGTTTGTAAGGATTCTTATGAAGTTTCGGAATCCAATATACCGGGGTATATATGATAGTTCAAATTCAATGTGTTTTTTTGGGATATTAAAAATATTCAAAACTGACATAAATATATAATAATAAAATACTTACAAACGAAGACAATGTTGTGACATGCTTTGTCAGCAGGGAACAGTACGTAATGATCATGTAACCTATCTAGTTATACCCCTCCACTTGAAAAGGGTATATAGTAATCGGTATGTCCGTCCGTCCGTCTGTACGTCCGGCTGTCTGTCTGTTACGCTTTGGGGTACAATCTCTTCTCCTCAATTCCTCTCATACCACTGGATGAAATTTGATGAAACTTTCACAGAATATCTTTATTACATATTGCCATTATGCACCTCCTATTTTAACTTTTGATCTGACACATATTTTTGGTTTCCCCCAGCAAAACATATTCATATGGGAGGAGGGGTATCATTTAGTGAGCTCATTGCTCACAGTACCTCTAGTTCTTTTTTCACTTCTGGATTATTGAATACAGAAGGATAAATGGTTTTCATATTGCCCCTCAATCTTTTAATACGCGATTTTATCATGGATCTGATACATGTTATCCACTTTGACAAAGTGCCAATGTCTTCTTCTTCATATCTGGTCCATCGCTTAACGTAATCTTCAAAGAAATTCATAGTATTTATGAAATTCCGACGCCAATTGAAGGATCGGGGTTCCCTATGTTTAGTAATTCCCAATTTTGTAATAAATTTATCTAAAAGTAAAATTGAAATATTTAAAAAATATTTACGAACAAGGAACTGGACACATTGACAGTTCATAAAACTTATCTACCAGTATGTTTAAACATGAAGATTAAACATATGTTTATATCTGAAAACTTTGACAACTCCCTTTGTGTTTCCCACCTACAATTTGGATTTGTTCAGTGTTAATGCGTTTGGAAATTGCAATTCATCCCCTGTCAGCAATAACTACAAGAATCTCCCAGAAGGACTCAGTAAATGGATGCGATGATTTTTGCGTCGGTAACAAGGATGTTACAGTAGGAGTCACATGCGACGTCAAATGGGTCAAAGTTCTCCTTCGGGTGGATGACAGTCAAGTTATATCAACGATATACACACTTTATTTGACCAGATGCCGACAAAATCGTCATAGAATTACTAAACCAGTCTAAAACACATATATCGCTGTTACCATTCTGTGTAATGCGTCTCGGGAAGCTAAAAAGTATCTCCATATAAGAATCATAAACACCGATCATTTGTTAGGGTCATATGTCTTATGAGACTTGAAGAAGTACTTAGGAAACCAGAGTACTCTGTCAGGGCGACTAGAAGACCACCATCCACCGACTCACAAATTCCTAGTGGTTCTAAATCTTCTGTATTTGCGATAACAGAGACAGATCCTGAAGGAAATAGTTGGTAAATACCCCAGGTAGGATAGTTCTCAATAGCAGTAAAAGACACTTCACCATTCTTATTATAGACACATTTATCACAAAGATTTATCATTATTCTTGTTTTTTCTCCCTTTCATGTTAATTTGATTTAAAGAGTCTGATGAAAAAGACTGGATATAACAAGTGTCTTCACCACAAACCTCAAGTGTACGTACTGGATTTTGTCCATGTTGAAGAGATCCTTCTTCATCAGCAATGGCATCGATTGACCAAGTTTGATGCAAGTCATCAAACAATTTTCCTCTATCGTATTGTATTCTAAAGGATCTTCAATGTCTATAATATAAGACTGTAACTGTTTCAGAATGTTCAAGTTGTCGATCAGATGGAAATCTGACATATTTCTGCTGTTGTTCTCAATTATTCTATGGTGTCAACAAGCTGGGATTTTTTCTTGCCTATTTGAGATGTCAGAGATTTTATTTGTTCATTTGTTTTTCTTAAGGGGTTTTTCAGGTTTTTTTCATTGTTTTTCTTCATTTCTGTTAGCCTTCAAATCACATTTTTAGAATTCTTCTGTAAAACTCTTATATCATTCTCAAACTGAATTTCATTATCCTTTTCCTGGTATAATATTCTCTCCTTTTTCTACTCAAACTCCGATGTGTCCCCCTTTATATCTCTTAGATACGTTAAGAGTTCTTTCCTTCTCTGGCTTGCTACGCTAGCTAGCGTGTCTAAGTTGTAATCCTTGTGCTTAGTTTTTGCACACCTGGAACAAATGAATTCATCACAATCCTCACAGAACATATCAATTCGTTTGCTATGTTTGTCACAAGCTGGAATGTGTTCTTGAGGAGAACCTAACGCAGATTCTTGTGTGTTGGTCGCCATTACTACTTATATTGAATAACCATATATTCCTTATAACGATGGTTGGCGATACAATGCACTGGTTTGTTTGAATAGCATTAAATAGGCTCTCAATTTTTCTTATGAATTGCGAATGATAATGAAAATCAATAATATGGATTTAAAACATACATTAGGATGTTAAATATCTGTATAAACAGGAGCAGAAACCTTCTTTCGATTAATCATCCATGAAAAGAATTAGACTGCTCTCTCTCTCTCTCTCTCTCTCTCTCTCTCTCTCTCTCTCTCTCTCTCTCTCTCTCTCTCATGGATTCAAATTAAACTTAACTATCCTGAAATACAGGAAGACAGGGTAGGAATATTAATGAAAGCATAACTGAAATAAAGTATTGCGGAATCAAGACACACGAAATACAAATCATGGCCAAAAATGAACACATCAGATGTACTCGTAATTTTTTACGTTATTGTAAAATCAATTAAGAGGAAGTTTTTTATGTTAACGAAAGCAAATAATGTTTTTAAAGTGCGTTTCATACTTTGATTATGGCATAAAGAAATCTATCGTAATTTTTTTTCTGAAAATCTCCGTCTATTTCTTTCCTAATTTCGTTGAAGTGAATGAAAAAGAACGTTTCAGAATATTTTATGATTAGTACTTCTTCCTACGAATGCTAGAATTCAGTTACTTCTATGATCAGTTTTTTTTAAAAGAAAATAGCGTTGCCATTGCAATTATTTTGTAGATATTTTACAGACACTGTAGTCATCATGGTCAACATTAGCCTGTTCTAGTGACCATGCCATTTTGAAGAATAAAAAATTATATGATTGTACTTTTATTTGAATTCAATTTCATGATTCCATTTACATGGTTTATAAGTAGTAGAGGTGGGATCAGGTGCCATGGAGGAGTAGCAATCACTGCCGACCGGTCACCTGCCGTTTGCTCCTTGTCATGATCGGCAGATTCCATCGACGATTATGTGAAAAACGTGAGTCGCAATCTGGCTTAATGATAAATTTTATTTGGTGACAAGATCATTGTATCGGCGATAACAATTACGAAATGGTGACTGTAACAAGACTGCTGATATTCTTATTTCATCCCCTTGTTAGTCAATACCTTAACCTTGTTTTAAAAATTGTACGTAGATTTATATGCAGGTGATGAAAGTATAATGCTGCATGAGTAAGGGAAGTTTAGTTGAATCCATGACTTTGTTTGCTGTGCTCCAGATTTGTTTAGCTTTGATGGGCTTTTGAGCTTGATTACTGTTTGTTACCTTTACCATAGGTACTCCGGAACTTAATTTGTTTTAAATTCTGTATACAGGGAAAGGATTACCTGCTACAATAAGTATAAGTATAACTCTCTAATTTTTTATCTGTACCAGTCCCTCTCATCAGAAGGGTGATGCACTGAGACTTCCGCTTGAAAAATTTAATTTCTTAGTAAAGTAGATTTTTGGGGTTACTAACTGATTGTGCTGTATGGCATCACTAAATATTGAGGTATTCAGGTAGAAAATATTAATTAAATATTCAATTACTGATAATCTGAGCCAAAATTTGTGCGGGAGTGAATCACTCCCGCACTTGCACCAAATGTTACGAAGATCCGAAGGAGTTGTACCCCCCCCCCCCCAGAAAAAAGGGGGGGAAGAGAGAGGGCTCCAGTATTGCAGCTAGGAAAGAATGACTGCATTTAAGGATATGCGAAATAAGTATGCGTCAAAATAAACATAAAAAAAACAATTTTCTTATAATTGCAAAAATGAAACAACATCTAATTCACAACTTTACTAAATAACAATAAATAACAGTTTGTATTTACGATGGACGAATATGTTACTACTTACTTATCAAGTTTATAGATCGTTCTCTCGATCATTGTCCATGTAAAGATTTACTCTCTCTCTCTCTCTCTCTCTCTCTCTCTCTCTCTCTCTCTCTCGCTCTCTCTCTCTCTCTCTCTCTCTCTCGTGGAATCAAATTAACTATCCTAAAATACGAAGGATAAACTATTTTCCTAGAATCGAAAAGGTTAGAATATCATTGAATCTCTAAGCATCACTAAAATAAAGTATTTTGGAATCAAGATACATTGTATAACGAAACATGGCCAAAAATGAACAAAACAAAGGTACACGTGATTGTTTTGTTATTGTAAAACCACTTTGCATAAAGTTTTCTGATAATTACTAAAGAAGGAATGACCTGGATATTGAATACTGCTCCTTATCTCCATATCCTTGATATTTTTTTTAATAATCTAAAATTTGGTACTTTGAAATTATCGTAGAAAGAACTCCGTCGTAAAAAAGAATTTGAAAAATTTGCTTCAATAATTGATTGGAAGTGAAAGAAAAGGAACTCCCTCTTTTATCCTACATGGTATGCTTGTCAAAGACTTATAGGGAGTAAAATATATGACGTCCATTTGTTAATCTGTTTTCTATACTAAATTAACACTATTAACAAATGGGAGTAGATGTTACTAAGAGATACTTTTCAACAGGCTAGGCTACATCTCCTACTATTTGTCACGATACCCCTAGTGGTAGGGCGTTCGCTTTATGATGGTAGATAGCATTCTCGTTCGCCGCGTCGCGTCAAATCTGAAATGAAAACATATGTACATCGGACATATTTAATGATTTTTCCTTTGCCAAGAGCCCAGCATTAATTGTTACAAGTTAAAGTCACAGTCCTTTCGGATGAGACATTAAAAATCGAGCACGATAAAGAACTCCTACTGTTCGGTACCCTGAATGCCGAGTACAGGTTGAAATTTAAAGCCCTTCCTCGGCATATGATGTTTTTCCTGGAAAATTCTCGAATTAGACGCAAAACAAAAAAAGTACGTAAGGGTTGCCCGCAACCCTGTGTCTCGCCTGCTGTCGCTGTGGTTAGTAAGAAATGATTGTCTGATAAACTGAAGCATTTATTGACATTTCAGAAGGAATAACTCAAAAATACAATAATAAAGAAATGGAACAGCTGACTTAATATCTAATCCCTTGGCGATTATATTGGCATTTATATATATATACATATACCCTGTAAATTCACAAATTATTGTGATGTTTTTATTATTGCGAATATTGCAACGTGTTATGAGTCGCAATAATTTGAACTTGCATTTTGAAATCAAATCCACTGTATATGTATCAAGTCATTCATGCAGAAAATGTAGGTGAAGATTACCTAATTATGGTACTGATATTGTTGGTTACCCATGATGTGTAGACTGACAAATTATCATGCCACTATAAGTTATAGTTGCTGAGATATGGACCTCCACCATAAATTTATGCAAAGTCACTCATGCGGAAAAATGTAGGTCAAGATGACCTAATTCTGGTACAGGCGTTTGTGGTTACCCATGATGTATCCACTGACAAATTATCATGCCACTATAAGTTATAGTTGCTGAGATATGGACCTCCACCATAAATTTATGCAAAGTCACTCATGCGGAAAAATGTAGGTCAAGATGACCTAATTCTGGTACAGGCGTTTGTGGTTACCCATGATGTATCCACTGACTAACTATCATGCCACTATAAGTTATAGTTGCTGAAATATGAACCTCCATTATCAATTTAACCAAAGTCATTCATGCAGAAAAATGTAGGTCAAAATGACCTAATTCTGGTACTGATGTTGTTGGTTACTTATAACCTGTACAATGACAAATCATCATGCCATTATAAGTTATAGATGCTGAGATATGGACCTCCACCAAAAATTTAACCAAAGTCACTCATGCAGAAAAATGTAGGTCAAGATGACCTAATTCTGGTACTGACGTTTGTGGTTACCCATGATGTATCCACTGACTAATTATCATATCCCTATAACTTATAGTTGCTGGAATATAGGTCTTCACCATAAATTATCATGAAAAAACTAAGTCCAACTTAAGGAAAAAATACGGAAAAATTTGAATTTTTTTTTTCAAAATCATACTTGGGATATAAATTTTTATCCATACTGAATATTGTGTCCAAATTTCAAGAAGACTGAATAAAATTTGAGAAAGTTATTGCAGTTTATAAAACTTTGACATTTGGGTTAACCAAAAGTTGGACGCCGACGACGACGACGACGACGACGGAATCTATGGTCGCTATGTCTCGCTTCGCGACATTCGTCGCAGGCGAGACAAAAATATGATCAGTTCTTCCTCGTAGATCAGTTTTGCTCTATATTTATAATATAACTAAGAACTATTATGATCAGTTTTTGATTTTAAAAAAAGCGTTGGCATTGCGATTATTTTATTGACATTATACAGATAGTTATCACTAGCCATTACTACCTCTTCTTGTGACCTTGTCCTTTGGAAGAACCATATACAAGAATAAGATATCAAATTATTGTGCTGTTATTTTATATTACATAAACTTTAATTTCATGATTTCTTTTACATGGATTGTTTATGGATTATACTAGTAAAGTATTATCTCTAAGATACCTGGTAAACAGAGCATTGTTGGCCTAAACTTAACAACAATATCTTCTCTCCAGCTGGATGAAGTATAATATTATAAGAATCGGTCATGTCACTATCTGCTAGGTCAATGTCTCTACTCTCACCGAATCCATGTTTAAACTGTTTAAGTTTAGATGATCTATTACAAACCAAGATGTTATCTTCTAAGTCAAATGAGAGTCCTCTAAACTTTTGATCGCCAGGACTCAAACGAATCACTTTGTTATTCTGATCTACAGTTACTACCACCCCATCACTAATAAAACAATGTGTATCTGAAACCAACGACGAAGATACAAAGGGTGCATCTCCACTCTGTTTGTATGGTGAACTATGGTTGATGCAAAAGTCCAAAGAACAAATAAATCTTGTAGAACGATTGGCGGCAAACACTGTTGTTAGCCCACGAGAAATCACCAACATGGGTTGTTTTAAGTCAATAGTTTTAAGTTTTGTAAATGTTATAGATTTTGCGACATCAATTCGAAAATGGTTGATGAAGGTTTCAAAAGATACATAAATTTCATTCAAGCTCAAACCGGAGTGACAGAGGCCGTACGGTTTCTGTTGACAAATCTCTGTGTGAACACATTCTCCTGTGGAATAACTAATGTCGTAAATCTTCAGCGACCGTTGACTCGTTTGAGATAATATTATCATTGTGTCACTAACAAACAAACCGTAATAAGCTGTTTCTGATAAATTTTTAACCCGGGATAATTTCGTTAGGTTGACTTTCATCCAGTCTTTGTCGGTCTTGACCAGTGAACTCCTTAGTAATTTCTCTACTTTCCAAGATTGTTCTTTAGACAATACCACGTCTTCAAATTCTTTTGAATTCGAAATTAGACTAAGAAAGTTCGAGTTGTCATGCTTGTAATCTTTGGGAAAATTCCAAATTTGTAAAGACTTTAAACGAGAGATGTGCTCAGACATTTGATTTTGTAATTTAACATTCGTAATAAATAACTGTTTTGAAGACCCACTATTCAACACTGATTGTAGTATGGTTCTTGCCTCATGTATTGTAGTGGAAAACCGTTTCAACTCATCATAAACTATTTCAATGTTTCCAATGGAATCTGCATGCGTCTGTTCAAATCGTTTTAGCCAATTTGTATGTGCATTGTCCAAAAGTGATTTGATTTCTTCAACTTTCTCTTCAGTGTTCATACATATTTCTCGCTTCTTGGTATTGAGTTCGGCTTTTAGATTCATTTTTTCTAACAACATGTCTTCAACATCTTTTTCCAAACCAATATATTTAGAAACAATGTTTTGAATGTGATCTCTGCCAACTGCCAGAGCTGTATCTTCAACTGTGTCTACTTTCTTGCACGATTTGTGCTGTTTGACATGGCAGACGCTGCAACATAGCTGTTGGTGGCCGTGGCAAAAAACATCAAGTACCTTACCTTTGTGCAAAAGACATGGCTCCTCTATCTCGATTTCACTGTTCACCTCCTTAATGTTCGCGAGGTTTATAATTTTATGATCCTGTAGACTTGGAACAAGTCTGTGAAATGATTTGCAATCTTCACAAACAGCTTCCATACAGATTTTGCACCAGAACCTCGCAGGTATCGTTTTCTCTGCCCGTTTACAAAACATACAGTTTTTATTTTCATCTTGCTCAGGATCTACTGACAAAGTCAGAACAAGTTTGTTCATAGGTAATTCCAATGCCCATTCTTCACTTGAAATGTTTTTCCTCGGAGCGTCGACACATCTTCTACAAACGGGACATTCGATAGATTGAACTGTATTGGTTTCCTTATGTGCTGCCGTACTTGAAATGTAAGTCTGAATACACGGCCCACAGAATGTGTGATAACACGGCAAATACTTCGGTTTTCTTACCTCTTCTAGGCATATCGGACAGTGGCATTTATCCCTTTCAATGTTAGCAACAGGGGTTTCGCTTTTTGACTCAGCCATTCAATAGAAAGATGGATATCCGGCCAGCCCTACTCAGGCTACTGTCTATCTCTCTTTCCGTTTAAAACTGATAACTATGGAACGTTGATGGTGTTAAAAGTATATGGGCACGGACACGATTTTATTTTGTTGGTGTGTTAAGTCCTGTGCGAAACGGGAGTGAAGTAATTTGTATGGCTGGACCTAAATCTAATCTGGGACCTCTGGCCCTGGGACCGTAAAAGTCATAATATTGGTGAAGGTCAGTTTGAAAGCTCTCATAATCAAATTGCCTGTAACATGCAAAGGAGTAAAAAAGTTTCCAAATTAGTAATGTGTTTTCAAAGTCGTAACATTACATCCTTTGACCATATAATTATGGCATACGACTAAAGGTTCACTATAATTATGTTAGTAGTGCGTAAATTTTTATGATTTTATATTTTCTTCAGGACCCTCTGATAGACCAGAGCTAGGATCAGGTGCCTTGGAGGAGTAAGATTTCTCTCTTGACCATCACTCCTGTCATGAGACATATCTATTGATTAAAGGTGCTTAGACACATATTTGAAGTTAATATTTTCTCAAATTTATATTATATTGCAATAGTATTTCACACGAAAATGTATTAAAAATCTTATTTCGATTAAAGTTATTGAACTTCAAAGTTTTGGACGGGTTTGATTGACACATCCTTGCACTTTCATTAATTTTAATTTTATACGTAATACTTAGGAAAAAGGGGCAATCTTGTTGTGTATCAATTAAAAATATTAACAGTACAGTAATTGATTAAGAATTTTGAAGCTGTCGAACAGGTTGTAATCTGATATTTCCAATGTTGTTCTCTATTAATTCTATGGTGTCAACAAGCTGAAATTTTTTCTTGTCCATCTGAGATTTCAGTGATTTTGTTTTGTTCGAGTGATTTTTCATCAAAATAAAGTATTGCGGAATCAAGATATTACAAATCACGGTTATAAATGAACACAACAAATAAAACACTTACTTTTTACCTTGTTGCGAAATCAAATACTAGGATGAAGTTTTTTTAAATTTATTCATGAAAAGTAAAGAATATCTATTTTAATGAATTTCAAATTTCGTGCTTCGAAAATATACCTGGTAGTATAAAGAAATCCGTCGTAGAAAATAATTTGAAAATCCCTCTCTATTCAGTGGGGATCCGGGTTAGAATAGGTTCCTCAGTACCCCCTGCTTGTCGTAAAAGGCGACTAAATGGGGCGGTCCTTCGGATGAGACCGTATAAACCGAGGCCCCGTGTCACAGCAGGTGCGGCACGATAAAGATCCCTCCCTGCTCAAAGCCCGTAAGTGCCGAGCATAGGCCTAAATTTGCAGTCCTTCACCAGCAATGGTGACGTCTCCATATGAGTGAAATATTCTGGAGAGGGACGTTAAACAGTATACAAACAAAAACAAACTTTTCAATAATAATTTGGGAGTGATAGTACAGGAAACCCCTATTTTATCCTACTGAGCATGCTTGTTTTAAAGACTGAATTCACAATGTTAACAACTGAATAGATATTTGTAAGAGATAGTTTTAACAAGGCTACATCAAGATCACGATTATCTAGTTTTATGCCGATCTGTTTCTGATGGTAGGCCGCATTCTTGTTCTACGCATGCACTGAGTCAAACCTAAAAGGTAAACATAGGTTGTGATTATTCCTTTGCAAAGCACCCGGCATTAGCAAAGAAAGCCACTTACCTTTCGGATGAGACCTTAAAAAAATCAAGATTTAAGTCGACACGATAACGAAGCCTTTCTGTTTGGTACCCTAAATTCTGAGTACATATTAAATTTGAAGCTCTTGGTCGGTATTTGATGCTTCTCTTGAGGTGTGAAAAATTCTCAAATAAGACGTAAAACAAATTAAATTCAATACTTCTTCCTAGCAGATCAGTTTTGCTCTATGTTTTCAATATAACTAAGGATAAAAATCTAGAGTTCAAATAAATTATTCAATACCTATCCATTAACTTACACTATTTTCGTACTTGAAAACTTTAACAAGGCCATTTTCATTTCCCACCCGAAGCTTTGATTTGAACAAAGAAACTATGGTGGGAAAGTTAACTTCATTTTCAGTCAGTAAATACTTCAAAATTTCCCCGTCGGGACTCAGTAGATGGATTCGTTCGTTGTACCGGTCAGAAAGAATCGCAGGTCACATCAAAAGGTAAAAAGTTCCACTTCAGTGGCTGTCCACCGTACATGGATCTGAGATGTCCAGCAGAAGACAAAATAACAAGGTTCCCTTTAGTTCTGTTTGTCCAGTTAACAACACAGATGTCCGAGTTACCATTTTGTGCGACTTTGACTGGTAGAGTAAACAGCTTTGTTTTACCGTCAGCAGTGTGCTCGTATTCTCGGATAGTTTCACCAGTGAGGGAAACTTGTCTCACCAAATGTCTGCTGTCTGAATCTGAATTCATCCATTGTGTTGTGTTGTCGTTCAATGTCACCAGAAGACCTCCGCTTCTTTGACTACATACCCCTCCTGGTAACAGTGGATCTGTTCTAAGGACAACAGAAACAGATCCGGACGGAGAAAATCGAGCGATGGACCTGTTATCAACATCAGAAAAGTATACACTGCTTCTACTCACACATAAGTCATTGGGTTTTATCTTGAATTCTTTTTTCTGCTGGCCTTTTTTATTGATTAGGTTGGTGTGATCAGAGTGGTGAGATTTTATATAGATATCATCGTCAGTGAATGACTCCAACATTAGAATAGTGCTATGTCCATACTGGAAAGATCCTATTTCATTGGCAATGACCTCATCTGTATCAATAATCTTTCCAACCATACATTTCAGTTGCTTATCACTTATTTTTCCTCTTCTAAATCTCTTTCGCTGTTCACATCTCTTCATATCAACATCTAAGTCAGACATCAGTTCTGTAAGTTCTTTGTGGTTCTCAACGAAGCTGTAGTCTGACATGGTACCGCTGCTCTCCTCCATAAATTTTACCAGATCAAGAAGTTGTTTCTTCTTCATTTTCTAACTGTGATTTCACGCGATTTATTTGTTCATTTTGTACCGCCAGGCTATCTCTAATAGTTTGTTCGTGTTTCTTCTTGATTTCTCCGAGACTCGTTATGATTTCCTCGTGATGCCTCTGCATAAATTGTATATCCGCGTCACATCGCCGTTTACTTTCTATATTTTGTGACACAAGCTTCTCTATTTTGTTATCAATCTCTGGTATTTCATTCTTCCTAATTTTGTTGAGATAAACATGAAGGCCTCTCCTTATTTCACTGACTACCATCGCTAATGTTTCCCAGTTATGATTGCTGTGGTCTGATTTTGCACACTTGAACAAATGAATTTGTCACAATCATCACAGAACATATCTATACGTACACTGTGTTCATTACAAACCGGGATGTGTTTCTGAGGTGATCCAACGGTGTCTTTTGTATCATCAGCCATTGTTTTGTTTATGTTGAAAATTTCATTAATTTTAACTCAGCTACAACTACTAGTATTTGTGATTTAAAGTGTTAGATCGGTACCAACTTATAGCAAGTTTACTCGATGGTTTTTAAGATTAAACAATAACCCGAATTTAAACTACATGCTTTGTAACAAGACAATGAATTCAACATTGTTCAATCACCACCGGCCCATAAGGTATTCTGCAGTCATAAGCCTGCATAACAATCATAACAACGCTATGACGTCGCGCATAGCATTGGGGTTTGAAATTGCGTAAAATGTAACACTTTAAACGACGGGCGTTAGTATTTTTGTTCATTTTATCGTTTTGGCTACAGAAATTTTCTGGCAATGTGTACCAAGCTTCTATAATTTCCTGTGCAGATCTCACACAAAATTCAATAATAAATTTCTAATTTAAGGACTGTTCCGACTGTTCGTAAAATAGGAAGCGTACCGTAACATGCCGTAATCTTGATAAGTTACAAGAAAAGAAAGATTGTTTGATACAGATATTTTACTATATAATGGGTTCTTTTTGTAAAACTAAGTTGATAAATTAAATGTGCAAATCAAGAAGTAGTCAAATGTTTCTTTTAAAAATTATAAGCAAGTAGCAGGAGAGATTGATAGAGCGATTTTGATGTCTAGTCGGGTTTGTTACTACGACACAAATATGCGTATTATGATACTTAACCGCTCGTGTAACACCAAAATGAGCTGTATTCTCTATTTCCTGGGACAACTTTTAACAGATAAAATATTATTTTTGAAATGTGCAAATAAATAAAATCTTGTATTTAAAGAAACATTAATAAGATAGACATTTTTAAGAAAACAGGAGCAAAAATTGAATGTCTAGTCTAATTTGTTACGCCTTGAATTTTTGACGTTTTTACGGTTAAACGACGTATGTAAAGACGTCAGAAAAGTATATTTTGACGTTACAAAATCAGCCCCAATTCTGTGCGCTACGTCTATCCTGTGTCTGCAAAATATCCCTCCTTGATAAATTGTAAAATTCCAGTCGATGACAATCTAGGACAGCTGTACATGCTTTTAGAAATCAAAAATTCGGCGTACAAATAAATAAATCTAAGATGCAGGATATATATTACATTATAAATATTAAAAATTACAACAATAGTCATGAGTCTCTGACTAGACTTTATCTCTAGTCATGTATACTCAAAAAGCACTTTAAACATAATAGAAAGGCATCAACAGTACGAATTATTTTAAAAATGATCGTAAGTTCAGCTTACTTCGTTTGTAAGATAGAGCTGTACAAATGGAAGTGAATAAGTTGCATTGGGATCGATATATTTTTTGTAAGGAAATGTAACGCCTTGTGGTGTTCTTGTTTTCATTCAAACCTTTCTTCCAATTTTGACAATATTTGTAGTTTTTCTAGCGTTTTAAAACCTTTCATCCAAAAATGAAGTTAGCAGATATAGGACATCTGAACTCAATTCTTCAACGTCTTCATGTTCTACAATGAAACATATGAAACAAGATGACGAACAGTATTCAAGTTCAGCAATCCATAAAACAATACAAGATAGTAGCAGGGCAAACACAGACCTCCAAAACATCAGAGGTGGGATCAGGTACCATGGAGGAGTGAGCTACCCCTGCCGACCGGTCACACCTGCCGTGTGCTCCGTGTCATGATCGGGAAATTACGGGAAAATCCGTCGTCAATTCAGTGAATAAATAATGGACTAACAATTAGTATGAAAAAGGTCTGTCAACATTTGACTCAATGCTTAATTGTATTTGCTGGCAGTTCATTGTATCGACCATATAACTTACAAAAGGATGACTTTGAATACGACTTCTGA